ACTAAACAAAAGACTCTAAGTCAAATCAGAATTTGTCATATCCTCTCAACAATTTTCTTATTACTTTATAAAGTAAATCTTAAATAAAAAGTTTATACATATCTTTATTTAGTAATTAAAACAATATATAAAAATAAAAAAAACATTAATTATTAGTAAAATTCACGTAAAAATGATTGCTTTTAACTTTAACCATGAAACAAAATGAAATTGTCAGAAAAATGTGTTGCATCCTGGGGATTCCCACATGTGTGAAATCTAAGTATGTGGACAGGCTGTATCTGGTCAACTTTTCTTACAAAAATACATAGAATTTGGCATCTGATAATATAATACAGCTGATTAAATTGACTTCAATGTTGATGTTGGATGAGCCACCTTAATGTTTTAAGTCACCATAGCCCACCTCACAGTGGCATAAAACTTTAGGATTTCGTAATAAACTAATCATGAAGCAAGTTGTTACCCATGTGTGTCACTGTCGTATATACCATTCAAAATTATCAGTCCAAGACAGTTTCCAACGCACAGTAGTTATGCTTCTTTGACCACCATGATTCAATCATGTTTCTGAACTAAACTAATTTAAGTCTTTTTCAGCATTCATGTCAACTTGCGTCTCTTCTTATAAGATACAGTACATTATTGTTATCATTATTAGCTCAAGGTACGTATGTGAATTTATATTATTGGCCGCAGAAAAAGAACAATTAATTCGTATCACAGAGAGAAGAAAAACTGGCAACAAAGATGGGAACTGTTGTTCACAACTCCTCGGAAGTGTATACAAGTGACAGTGAAAAGGGCTTTGCCATCAACCACTCTACTCCACCAGAGGTAGATGCAGGGGCAAAGTTTGTTCTTGTATCAAAAGGTGAGGGTGTTTTTCCTTGTTGAATTGATCTATGTTACTTTATTCCATGGTGGTTTGTGATGAACCAAAAGAAAAGCTTTGTGGGGGGCTATGATGAAGAGTTTTTTTACTTTTTCATGAAGATAAGAAAAGGGTATTGATCAATTGTTCGCTGTGTGGTGATGTATGTAGGATCATGGTTGCACTGCGGGTATCATTTGACTACATCTATTGTGGCTCCTGCGCTTCTTACTCTTCCTTTCTCCTTCACTTTGTTGGGTTGGATTGGAGGATTGCTTTGGTTGACCCTTGCAGGCCTTACCACATTCTATTCATACAACCTTTTATCTGTGGTCTTAGAGCATCATGCACATCTTGGGCGTCGCCAGCTTCGATTTAGGGACATGGCTAGAGATATTATAGGTGAATATCCAGCTTCCTTGGTTTTTGTTGTGAATTTAAAGAACAATAGTCCCAATTTTCACAGAATTATCATCTTTTTGGCACAACATAATCATATTCTATCTTTTCATTGTTCAAATTTTTATCTGAATTTCCTTCTTTTTTAATATTTTTTCCCCATTTTATGAAATGAAATGTAAAACTTTCATTTTCAATTCAAAACATAATGATAAGGCTTTAAAAGCTGAAACTGTTGCTGTTGCCAAATTGCTTTTCTTTTCTTTGCCAAAAGAAAAGCTTTTATTTCTTACAACAGCTATGGACAGCTTGGTATATTTACTTCAGGCTCTTTATTATATATTCGAAAACATTAGAAATTAGAGAGAAACTATGCTGCATATAAACAATAGCTAGCACTAGCAGTCACCTACAAAAAAAAAATTTAACTGCTAGTGTTATCCACTAATTTAGTTGGTATTGAACTCCTTTTCTGATTTTTCTTTTCCACTGTGATTTCCTTTAATTGGAGGATGTGTGTGCCTTTAATGGGTTGGGGCATTCATAATTGATATTATTGCTAATTGCAAATGTTGTGGCAGGACCTGGATGGGCCAAATACTATGTAGGCCCGCTTCAATTTGTCATATGCTTTGGCACAGTGATCGGTGGTCCTTTAGTGGGAGGAAAGAGCCTCAAGGTAATTACAATTACAAGTGTCATTTTGCCAATTACAACTTTTGAAAATTTCCATCCTCATTACAATTGTGTGTTTTATTGAGAAGCTACATTTTCTTCTTCTTTGCAGTTCATTTACATACTCTACAACCCAGAAGGAACAATGAAGCTTTATCAATTCATTATTATATGTGGAGTCATAACACTGATTTTGGCTCAACTTCCATCATTTCACTCCTTGAGGCACATTAATCTGATTTCTCTGATTCTTTGTGTGTTGTATGCCACATGCATCACGGTCGGTTCTATATACATTGGTAAGGAAAGGAAAGCACAATGGCATTATTGGCAACTCAACCTAAGCAGAAACTTGAAATCAAGTTGACGTTTCTCTTGTATATACCACAGGTCACTCGAAAAATGCACCACCTAGACACTATTCTGTAAGAGGTTCTGAAGTAGACAAACTCTTTGGTGTCTTCAATGGTATTTCAATAATTGCTACCACATATGCCAGTGGAATCATTCCAGAAATACAGGTTTGTTGACCATCTTGTTATTCATTTTTAGAAAACCCATGTTGGATATGCAATCAAGTTTAAGATGTTTTTGGATACACGACTTATTTAAGTGCTTATTTAAGCTTTTTTCAAACAATACTTAATGCCATAAATTTAGTGATAAAACTAATTAGTATAAGATGAAAACAACTAATTTTGGTAAGTTAAACCAAGAAGCTTATTGAAATAAACTTAAAACAACTTACAAGAGTTATAACCTTGTTTAGAAGCTCTTCCAAACAGACCTTTAATAAGGAAACATAGTTAAGAGCCTTGTTTAGCTAAATGCAGATGCGAAGTCACTAAATAGAATTCTTTTGCAATTTGCAGGCAACTTTGGCACCTCCTGTGAAGGGCAAAATGTTGAAAGGACTATGTGTCTGTTATTCTGTTATAGCCACTACCTATTTTAATGTGGCCATATCCGGTTATTGGGCATTTGGTAATGAAGCCAATCCTACAATTCTTGCTAACTTCTTCCGTGGGACAAAGCCTTTGCTACCCAAATGGTTTTTCTTGATGACTAATATATTCATCCTTCTGCAAGTGATGGGAATGACTGCGGTAAGAACACCTGAATGGTATATATTTGTGAATTTTGCAGTTGACATCTCATTTTCGTGATGAATAACCATAGATATTGGTTATATCACAGGTTTATCTGCAACCAACTAATGAGTTATTTGAAACAACTTTTGGAGACCCAAAAATGGGACAATTTTCCATCCGAAATGTTGTGCCAAGGGTGCTACTTCGGTCACTATCAGTGGCAGCAGCCACAGTTTTAGCAGCGATGTTGCCATTCTTTGCAGATATAATGTCTTTGTTCGGGGCATTTGGATGCATTCCTCTTGATTTCATTTTGCCTATGGTTCTTTATAATATGACTTTCAAGCCCTCAAAACACAGCATAATGTTTTGGGTGAACTCATTGATTACAGTAGCATCCTCAATTTTGGTTGTAATAGGAGGAATAGCATCGATTAGACAAATAGTTCATGATGCCAAAACATATAATTTGTTTGCAGATATGTAAAAATTATAGCAATACATACAGACACCAATTTTAGGTGTCATTACAATTCTGTTAGTCATCTAAATTCAAGCCATTCTTTCAATCATTCAGATATCTGACACATTATCTCGTTAGACATTATGTTTTAACAGCTAGTTGATTCTGTACTTATCCAGGTAACTACAAAGGTTTTAGTTCTTTGTCAAGACCCAACTAAACGACAATGTATTGATCAAAATATTAATCAAAGTAGTCAGTTAAAGAATGGGCATTGTACGTTTGAAACAGATAAAGTGAAAAAAAAAATACTAGAGTTAAATGAATATTGTTTAGTTAGGGAAGTTGCAAAGAAAAATTAAGAAGAATTCAAAGAGGAAAACGAATGCAAGAATGGTGCAGGAGATTTTTTATTTTTTTTAGAACAAACAGAAGGAGATTACTTCAAGGATGAGGTATCACATTAGTTAAAATCTTTAAATGGTAAGATAATGTTGAGGAAATAGTCTACATGATAACGATGTATAACACCCTATAAATTTAATATATTATAGATTAATTAATTAATAGTGTAAATTTTTTTCAATATTAATAAACAAAAACTAAATCTTAAAATAATTAATAAATGATAGAGTTAATTTGTTTTTTTTTTGCACGATCATAAAAGTTGTCGGATAATTAGAAGGTAAATTTTACAATATTTAAAAAAAAAAAAGAGTATTCTATGCTCTTATATATGTAGAACAATCATAATTATTGATTTTAACAGTAGAGTTAGTAGTATATTTGAAAAAATATAAATATCTTTTAATATCTTAATATAATCTAGAAACAATATTTAATAAGAACACTATAATAAGCACCTAATTAAAAACAGTAAAAAGAGGACAAAAAAATTCTCAAAGCTGATTACTAAATTACCACACTTTTTATCATCTCTCTTTCACAAACATTTTATTTGGTGGTATAAGAAAAGTTGTGACTAAAAAAACTATAATTTTGAATGCAATTTTATATAAAGCAATAAAAGAGTGGATGAAAAAGAAAACATTCATATGGACTCATTATTCTTTATTTTGAACCTCCTGCTCTTTGACATTTCTCTTTTCTATCCTCATTTTGTACCCATTATTCTTTCCATTAAAATGCAAAATATTGTTTATAAACTTTATACAATATTGTTTTTCTTAATTTCTGCATATTTTTCTCAAGTTAAATAAGTTAAAATTTTATTTATTGTTTTATCAACTATCATTGTTATTTTTAAATATTAACCTGAACAATTTAATCTAGCAGAACAAATTCATTCCAGAGGCAAACAAAGTGAAAGGGTACATCCATGTTCAAAACTCTTCCAGAGTGGTGGTTGTGGAAAGTCCTACCATAACCCATAACCCAAAACCCATAACCCATAACCCATTACCGAAACCCACTCTCTTCCATATAAGTATGTATTTGGGATTTGATGCGCTCACATAATTCAAATCCCTCACTTTCATTTCACTTCATATGCATCGGTAAATTCACCGCTCTAAGAACAGAACAGAATGAACAAAACCACCGAAATTGTGGCCATTGAAGAAACACCACAATCACCCAAACAACCCACACCAAACCCCCTTCTCTCTTTCTTCTCCAACCTCAACTTTCATTTTGAACTTCCTTTCTTCCCACCTAAACCAAAATCACAACTTGAAGAACCCCCAAAACAGGCCCAGGTGAGTCCCAGCTCCAAGCCCAACGTTGTACGCTTTCCCAAAACCCAGGTTGTGGTTCCTCCATCTCTCGAGGCCGAGCCTGATGCTGATCAATCCTCCACAAAGACTTCCAATCCTATCATTCTCTGGCAGGTATTCCTCTCTCTCTCAGATTAGGGTTTTTGGGTCTCTTCGAACTTTATAATTGAGGAATTTATGTTATGCCTCTGTTTTGTAAGCAAGGGAAAAGAGTAAGTAGTGAAATCACTCTCTGGGTGAATATTTTTGCGATGCGAAGTTTACATTCATTCTGATATAAAAGTAGCATGTGTATGGTTTGTGTAGTTACTACTACTAGTTCATCATGGTGATGCGATAAATAAGAGGTAATTTGGTTTGGTTTAAAATTCCTGATAGATGTGCAGCATGTGTCACATGAGAGAGAAATCAGATTAAGACCTCTCCCTCTCATCTTCAGTTTTATTAATTGGACACCTTTTATGGTGTTATGGTTTAGTTTCAAAGAAAAGTCCCTACAAATGATTACATGGATGCTTCTCCTTTCTCCACCTCTAACTAGAGTCGTTCAAGTCCCCATTAACCTTCTTTCTGATATCTTGCCATATAGTTAGCTCTTCGTTTTTCTCGTTTTCCTATACTATCCTTGTACTTCTCTTTCCTAAAGTATGCTGGAATATTGCATCTTGACCTTAATATGTCTTTTGACGTGAGGGTAACGAATTTGTATTCAATCCAATGCCCTTTTTGGTTTCATTACAATGCTCAGCTGATGAATTTTTTAAGTTTTAACCCCTTAGGACTGATAATAACAAAACTAAAAGTGGCAAGTTTTTATCGGAAAAAAATGTATTTAAATGTTGTCTTTTTTCAATAAAAATCTGCTACATTTAAATGCTTTAAATCAGTCATGAGGACTTAAGGTTAATAAAACCGTTTTTTTAAAGAAACGAAACTGCATTTGAAGTTTGTTGTGTGTGTAGATTTGTACAAGTATGAGCTCCAAAGAAAGAGCTAATTGTGAAACAGGTTACTTAGCCTTGTTATACATGGTGATAAACTCTGTTTGCATATTCTGACAAGGTTACTTTATCTGATTCCAGGTTTATGTATTAGGAGGGATCATTATTTCAAGATGGATTTGGGCAAGGTGGAATGAGAGGAAGGGTGGAGGGAGGCCCCCCAATGATGAGAGCGCTGAAGGAAGAAGGCCTTCTGATGATGGCCGTCGATCCTCAGACAATGAATAGAAATTTTCATTAGCTGTGTATACGGTGCTATCTCCATATTCACAGATTCTCTGTATCAATGGATACTTGTTTCGTTTGCTAAAGCCATATAAGATGCTTTTTGTTATATACCAATAGTTGCTGTGTTGGTATATATTATCTTTCTTTACGATCAAGTGATGCCATCGATTTTTTTTCTCATTTCTGTTCTCAAATCCTCCGCCGGCATAGGTCAATATTAGCTGATTAACCTCAAAATAAACTTTCTATGCATTTCTTGAATGTGATTAGTTCGTAACTAGCCCTTAATTTGGCCTTTTTTACTCGGCTGGTGTGGTGAATTTCATATATTTTGACAGGGAAGGCCAGCAAGTAACACAATTTTTTTTTTAAATACATCCTTAAAAAATATATTAAATTATAAGTGAAAAAAGTCGAACTTAAATAATTTTTTGTAGTTTTTAATAGATTTTAACTTTCATGTTGAAATAGGATTGATCGATGATGATAGCAGAAGCGGTTTATTATTTTTCTACTTGAAATAAACAACATATTTAGGTTGGTATAATCTTTATTTTTTCATTTTAATGTAATAATTTTTTTTTTCTCTCAGCTCTTCCGTTTCTATCATGTGTCACGTTTTCTATCAATGGCCATTAGCCCCCCTTCACTTCTCCATCATTCAACAGCAAAATTGCCTGTTCATCCCCATGCAAATACGTGAAGGAAGAAGGACAGCTTACAAAATTTAGGTGCTTAGAAACCTAACTTTTTCGGCAGGAATTATACCGACTTCATTCTTCAGCTTGCAAACAAAGAAAAGGACTGAAGTATAAGAGGAATTGATGAGAGATGTTTCAGTATCATGTGATTTTGTAAACCAAAAACACATGGGATATGCTTAGGGACAAAGATAATTAATTATTTTATCACCAACTTATTAGGTGTGTGTTTGATCGAATAATTGTGAGTTTAATTTTGGTTGTTCTTTTTTTTTTTCTACAAAAACTAAATTAATTAAAATTGAGGTTGTGGCAAAGTTATTCATGTTAGAAAATGTTTTATATTAAAAATAAATTTATAGTCCAATTTATTGTGAAATTCTTACGATGTTAAAAAAGGTTATTTTTGTACCTCTACCATAACCTGCTCATATACCGATCTTAATTTTAGCTTTATCCAGTCAAGCATATTTTACTTGTTTATAAATCCTGTTTCTATAGATCCTGTCTCGCCAATAACACTTATTGACTCACTACATGCTTATGTTATTCCTCATTAAAGTTGAATAACTTGACTTTTGTAATTTTGAGGTCATAACTAGTATTCAAAAGTTTAATTCCACATTGTTCTTGTGACCATTGTTACACTTGAACATAGTTTTAGGATAATTAATTAGCTGGGTACATATGATGTTTTATCCCTAATCACAACTTATTAGCAATTCTTAAGCATCAATTTGGTTTAAAATTCGATTTAGTTTCCAAAAAGCTTTTTGGTTTAGCCAAAGCCCTGTGAACAATGTTAGTGAAGAAAAAACAGTTTATGAGAAGATTTAAAACATTATAAGGCAGATTATTATATTCAAGAACGTTGTTGATAAGGCTCTGTATAAAATCACGTTAACAAAATAGATAAAAGAAAGACAGTTTGTTGTTGCTATTCATCTTTTGGTTGGTAGTTGCGTAAACGAGAGTTACCCCTTCGTTTTGGATCGCTGTTAGAGCACTCTGCAATAAGAAAGAATCAATCCCTAACTGCACGTTTGATGACGGAAATCGTTACAACCTCCGTCATAACGTCGTCTCCGATTCCTCCGTCACAAACCCTAACCCCTTTTTCTCTCTCTATCTTATAATGGCCACCGAAGACTACTCGCTCCTCGACTCTCCCTCTCACGCGCAGCCCCACATCCACGCGCCCACGCGCCACCACTTCGCTTCCTCCTCCTCCTCCAGTCCCAGCACTCTCCCCGCCGCCGAATCTGCCGCCGCTGACTACTACCCTCACACCTCCTTCTCCGACGCCGCCGAGGACTCCTCCGGTCCCTCCAAATCCGGCTCCGCCGTCCACACCCCCAACTCCAAGCGCGTCTCCGCCGCCGGCAGCCCCTACTTCTACAACAAGAAGCTGAAATCCTCCGCCAATCCCGATCCGGCGACCGACGCGGCTTTCCGCGGAGGCGGTGGCGGCGACTATCGGAAGGACCGAGAAGAGTGGAGCGACACGGCGATCGCATGTCTCTTGGAAGCGTACACGGAGAAGTTCAACCAGCTGAACCGCGGGAACCTCCGCGGCCGCGACTGGGAGGAGGTGGCGAAGGCGGTGGGCGAAAGGTGCGGCGGAGGAGGAGGAGAGGGAAATCATCACAAGTCGTACAAGAGTGTGGAACAGTGCAAGAACAAGATTGATAATTTGAAGAAGAGGTATAAGGTTGAGCTTCAGAGAATTGGGAGTGGTGGCAGTGGCATAGCCACTAGTCTTTGGCATTGGTTTAAGAAGGTTGAAATTATTGTTGGAAACTGTGTGACTGTGAAAAATGTGTCTGATGATGACAAGGAGGGTGGTTGCGGTGGTGGTGCTGGTAGTGGTAGCGGTGGTGCTAGTTCTTCTATATCTAGGCAAACCAAGATCAGGTATTATTAGTTTTTTATTAAATCACCTTTTTGTTATGTTAGTTGTTGGACTTGGTTATGCATATGTATTTTTGTGCTGTTGATGAAATCACCATGATTTTGGCTTTTGATGGCCGAGTGTGAGGGTTGGTTGAAGTGGGAAGATCAAATTATGTTGAGTTGGAATGTTTTGTATTTTATTTTTTGCTAATAATTATTTTTCAGTAGATGTTGTCGTTTGATGTGTGTAGCAAACTCTGCCTGCCTGCTGAGACAAGGTTTGATTGCCGTTGTGAACTTGTGATAGTTCAATTTTTTGTTCAAGACATGCATTTTAGTTGTTGATAGCTGGTTGGTGTGTTCATAGCATGTTGTGGTGTAAGAGATATTGAGATGGTTGTCTGACATTAGTGATATATCTGTTTGCAGGTATGCACCTAGCATTTCCGCCATGGCAAACAACCTCAAAACAAAACCAGCCTCAAATCTAAAATGGCGTAGAGTTTTGTTTAAAATTAGCGGCTCTGCATTGGCTGGAAACTGCCAGAATATTGACCCCGAGGTGCCTTTTTTGTTCTTGGTCCTGTTAAAAATTCGTTGGATTTTGGTTTTTAAGGATATTTGAATGAATAGATTGTGCTTCCTACTCTTAGAGACTTAACTGGAAACTGCAATTCAACTGCTTCCTTCCATCATTAGGTGGCAATGCAGATTGCTAGGGAAGTGGCAACAGCTTGCTGCCTTGGGGTGGAGGTATCCTTTGACTTCTTTAGTGGTTTGCAATGGAGGTTACTTTTTGTTAACATTGCTTAAAGCTCAATTCACAGGTGGCCATTGTTGTTGGTGGTCGTAACTTCTTTTGTGGAGATGCATGGGTGTCTGCTACCGGGTTGGATAGACCTACGGCATACCAAGTAGGGTAAGCGGTTTTAGTGCTTTGGTGGCATAACACGTGTAGTCTTTGATTGATTATTATTGAAATTATTTATACTAATTTTCCAGGTCTTTTCTTTTAATATTGCATTTTGTAAGGGTCTGTATGTATCGGGTGTGAGATGAGATTGAAAAAAAATGCAATGGGAGTTTGGTTAAAAGTAAGGCAATGCTTTGAATATCAAGTATATTGTTAATAAATATAACTTTGCAGTGCAACTAGCTTTCCTCATTTGTTTTCCTAGAATCATATTTGCTAAATTGACTGTAGATCAATAATAGTAGTCCCTCTCCCTTTCTTTGGTTGTTGATTGCATATTGACTATGTTATTGTCTGTAAAAAGTATGATGGCAACGGTTATGAATTCTATTTTGCTTCAATCTGCTTTGGAGAAGCTGGGTGTTCAGGCACGTGTTCAGAGTGCATTCTCAATCCCAGAGGTCGCTGAACCGTATAACAGGCAGCGTGCCATTAGACATCTTGAGAAAGGAAGGGTTGTCATATTTGGTGGTGTTGGTGCTGGCACTGGAAATCCACTTTTTACCACCGATACAGCTGCAGCTCTCAGAGCTTCTGAGCGTATGACCTTAACCTTTATAGTTTTCTTTTTGGGTCAACATCTATTTGGTTTTGTTGTTTTTATGTCAGTTCCAATCATGTGTTCTTCTATAATATTATATAGCCTTGCCCACCTCTCTACAAAATGCTTGATTCTTGATGCTTGACTTGGAATGAATTTTGATGTCTCATCCATTTTTTTCCCAGTTAATGCCGATGCAGTTCTGAAAGGTACTAATGTGAATGGTGTCTTTGACTGCCAATCCCGTAATGATAATGTAACCCTTGATCACATATCCTTTAGAGAAATTGTTTCTAGGGGCATCACCTCCATGGATATGACGGCACTAGCATATTGTGAGGAGAATGGAATACCTGGTTGGTATTTTCTCACCTTCATCTATTAAACCTTTTCTTTTTTCTAAGCTATTCGTTCTCTCCAGTTGTGGTCTTCAACATGCTTGAGCCGGTGAATGTTTCGAGAGCATTATGTGGAGATAAAGTTGGCACTTTGATCGATCAAACGGGAAGAGTGGAGCATCAGCTTCCTAGTTAATCATGTATATTTTGTTTTTAATCGAGGCGTTGCCTGCCAGCATAGCACACAATACCAATTCATTACATTGAGGGAAGACATGTAACTTAACTACTGAAATTTTGTACTTTTAACAAATGTTAATAGAATAATATTATTTGGATGAAGGTCTCTTGTCCGAATATATTGATTATCGGTTTATATTAAAAGCTGATAAAATTATAGAACCTACCGGTTTTCCAATCATTATTATTCGTTTAAACACGAGGCAACCTGTCTTAGAACCTTCCCTACTAACAATTTGGCACATTTCGATTCATCATCCAATTCCAGTTATGTTTGAATCAATTCATCTGATTGTCAGTCATGTTTGCACGTTGAATTATTTTGGAGAATAAGATCTTGTAATGCCATCTGCCCTGAACCAACCATCTTTTCCAACGAACTGCCGCTTAAAGAAATACCAAAAAATACCTTAAATTCAGCACCTTCCACTAATTGTGAACAGGAGGAATTGACTAAGTAATGCAGGTGTACGGCAATAAATTAACTTTTGCTATACATTGTTCCCTCGGGAAATGTTAAAAGAGAAACTTTATCTGTACAAAATTGACCTTATTCAACAATTACAACGTAATCTGCGACGATAATTGTCCCCAAATTTACAATTATACAGATGCATAAAATAATGTGAACAACGTGATACGCATCAACCCAACATCATTGTACTGAAAGATTGGGTCTGCACCAAGACGGTCTCTAGCCAGCCAACTCTTATAGTCTGTACAACTCCGGAGACCCAATGTAAATGGCAGGGTCCACCATTTCACCCCATTTTTCATCGCGTGGAGTGTTAAAAAAATTAAAAATTATTCTCTTCGCATAAAGAAACCAAAATTCGTTGTGACTGTTCACTGTCGAGTCTTTTGGGAACTAAATTCCCTGTTCAGTCAGACTTGAAATAACTGTCATCAATTGACAGTTGGTCGAATGCATCAAAATTTGCCTTCAAACCAACATACTGGCTACCTAGTTGAGCACAGCCACCATTTGGCCACCTGCAGCCTCCATCGGCAGAGCGAAATGGGCAGAGTGTTTCACATACTCGGCCAATGGCATTGTTTCCACCATCATCATCTACTGTAACCGGAACCGAAACATACATAGCCTTTTTGTCATCGCGTACAGTACTATTTGATTCATTCTTATAGCAACAATACAGTAAGTCTGGGTTGCTTTCAATGTCAACAGTACATTCACCACTACCAGAGAAGTGAACCTTGCACCCCATTGACTGAATTGCACGCTTTATGGCCGTATTTTCTTTGCTTATATTCTTGGCCATGTTCGTAGCTGAGCTGTTTAGTTGCTTCTCACGTCGTAATTCAGCACCTAGCGATTCCATGGCATTTGTCATTTCCTTAGCTTTCCTTTCAGCCATTTCTTTAGCCTGTCACCATCACACAAAGCACTAATAACATTACAAGGTAAAACCAAACAGATCAACAGTTCAATTCACTTCACAATGGAAATAAATAGCGAACTATTCTGATAATTGATATGCTTAAAGGAAAAAAAAAGTACAAGGTGGCCCCCAAAATTAAGGACCTATTCCAACCTACTAATATGGAGTGCTAAAGTGAGTAACACAGATGGATAAAGGCAATGGCTTATAAAAGGGACACAGTCGTAATCAGAAAATACAGGAAAATAGCTACCTTCTGCATCTCAGAGTATTTCATAACTATCTTCCTGCATTGTGCTTCAATCTCCCCAGTTTGTGCTTCTTCTGGGCAGGCCCAACGAAGGTGGAATTGGGGCCATAAAGTTGGGGCTAATGCTGCTGCTGGGGGTAGAAGCGCACTATTGTGCTTCAGTGGATCATAAAAGGGATTGTAATGAACATGGGAACCTCCTTCTGATGTCCTCAAATCAGCCAAGTATACCCACAGACACCCACAAGCTTCGAAAACATTGCATTGCTGCCTCTCCTTCTCACTAAAAAAAAATGCCATCAAAACAAATACAACAACCAGCAGCAATACCTTGGGTCCAATGCTTTATTTCACATTTCCCATTACTTCATCCTCATACATTTACCATTTAATCCACACTCTCACAGCTGTGGTCTTTTTAAATGTCTAAATACATAGAGACGGAAAATTTTTCCTCAGACTGAACATCTATAATAATGACAAATATTTCAGGTTCTAAACTGACATCAAACCAGTAATGACTAATAATCTGTAGGTTCTAAACTATGTAGTAGCACTACAGTGCTACTAAATGGGCCACATAACTCTGTAGGGTTGAGTACCCATGGGTTATATAGCACTATACATCATTTTTATGATATATTGGATGTTATTTTTCATCGTCTCTGAATGTTATGATCCAATACAACTTTTGATTCATTATTCAAAAATTAACTCAACAATTCTCGATTTGATAGCTTTACTTTGGTGTGTTTCACTACTTTCAATTTGATAGGACATGTTAGGAAAATGCATGTCATTGACCACATCATTCTGCAGTGTGCAGAGAAGACAAGTTACTAACAAAAAGAAATACCTGTTACATAGGAAGTTTCCAAAACGACAAGAAAGCATGCAATCTAGGACGTCCACAAGGAAAGCCTGAAAAAACAGTTTTTAGCAGGAAAGAAACTAAAAATAAAACCATGCAACAAAACAAATACAGAAATATTAAAGTATACATACCCCAGAAAACTCGAAAGCAAAAGGATACATCCGCAACAATTGTGAAACACAGTCTACCCACTGAAAACATATACCAGACAGTGAGATCACAATAAACACAAACACTGAACATAAGTGTTGTAGATGTATAATGGGAGAAAGTCAAATGAAATTAAATGAGGAACAAAAAGATCCAAATTGATAATCAAGATTGATATATTCTTGTGCATTCACCTTCTCATGATAGAAGTCTCACCAAAAATTTATTAAAGGGCATCATTTCACAATGTCAGTATTTATCTCTTTAAAAAATCCCAAAAGAAAATGAATTATAGCTTTCAAGAAAAAGGTATATTCACCTTCTCAAAAGAGTTTGCTAAGTTTTGCAATTTTTCCTATGATAATGATCAAAAAGCCTCAAAACTATATAGAGGCATTACTTTTTAATATTTTATGTTATATTTTAAGCTGAATTTTTTTAATGCTAAAAATTGAACATCCTTTTATAATACCAATGTTCTTGAAATGTCAATGTCCATGTCCATCCATATGAGAGTCAGCTCAAATGTCCAAGCCAACAGAACATATGTTAGAGACAAGTTTCCCAAAGGCTTGAAAGTTTACAAGCAGCAAAACTATAGGAGAGGAATTAGGAAATAAGTTGTTATGTTCTGTTTTGAGTAGTTTAGGATTTATCTTATTTCCTTTTGTTATTGTTGTCTGTTACCTTTTGTTATTGTTTTCTGTTACCTTTTGTTATTTTCTGTTACAGTAGCTAGGAGCATGATTTTAGGAAACATGACAGCTTAAATAAGGGGATTACAGAGGGGAATGGGCATCGGGAAAATTATTTCAGATTAGGGTGTTGAGCCACTTGAGAGCTCACTTTCCATTGCTGTAATTTCTGCTCAACTGAGCCAATTCAATACATAATTTAAATTTCAGAATCCTTACCTTATCAACATAAGTTTATAATTAGACACCTAGTGAAGAGTCATTGACGCATGTTGTATGGGTGTTAGCATGGTTGTTAAAATTGCAATTTTGATCATTGGATCATCCAGTCCTGAGTTTTGTGCTTTGTTCTTTGTTTATTTACAGGTGGGATCAGAGAATGGTACAATTGCTCTAGGATCACAGGGGTATATTGCAAAAGTGTGGAATTGGAGAGCCAGATCAAGCTGCAGGCATGTGAAATCATGGATTGGGTTCCATGACCTAGAGGCAGAAAACCCAATTTTTGTGAGCTTTTTGGTCCTATATCACTCTTCTCTCTTTAAGCAACATCATCAATGCTGCATCTCCCTTTGTTTCAGCTTCAGTTGTTCCCTTTATGCAACAGACACCATGCAAGTTTCTATTTGTTCACTTACTATTTTTGCTGCTTTTCTTTTTCTGGTGTCTCTGTTGGTTTTGCTGGTATGCTTGATGGATGTTTGTTGGTTTATATAAAATCATGTGACATTTAAAATCGATCATGTGACATAATGTGTTAAAATCCTGCAATGTATGAGTTTCCCCCCTCCTTCCTTTCCTAGGTTTGATTCTGAAGTTTGACAACATTGGATGACCAGGTTTCAATTTCAGAATCGTGTCCAACACCAACACCTCAAGAAAGAGTAGTGTTTGTGCTTCATAACTAACAATAGCATCACCAAATTTATAGTGACATCAAACCTTCGAAGGATTAGTCCAAGGCAGAGTCTACTGAAGCCTGAATTTGAAGGTGATGATTCTAATGAAGGAGATGATTTTAGAGAAGATATAATATAACCCAGTTGATTAATTATAGATTACTTGTCAATTAAATGATGTCTAGGGGTTATTCACAGAACTATAACTACTACAAAAGTAGCCTTTTCCCACTAGGAGAGGTCAACTACATGCATCAACCAACATCATAACATCCTATTGTATTTGTAAATCATGTTTATAAACATATCATTTAAATCTAGATCTTAATTAAGGAACAAACCTGCAAAAAAATGGGAGAGCAATTGTTTGAGTTATGAGTGTGAGATGTAGCTGGAGGTTGAGATGAGAATGCTCCTGATGACTGCCGCAGAGGTGATGGTGGGAAACTGCCAGTTGAAGACTGCCTAGATAACTCAAAAGGCATGTTGGTAGTTCCAGAGACAGATGGCATTCCCACACGATCAGAAAATGGATGACCAAATGCAAGCCAATCTTTTTCGATGAGTGCCTGCAAATGGAATAAAAATGTGAAGCACAATTAAATAACAAGTACATCGATTCATTTTCAACATGCGATCAAAACAGATAAATGGTTTGATTAGATTAGTGTGGAATGAATTTACCTGTGATATCAAACAGCAAAAGGAAAGTTGCTCATTTTCTTATAGTAGCATTGAAATAGAATTAGTTGAGTAATGTCCTTACCTGAAACCCCGTGAATGTCCGGTAATATGGATCAAGCAACAAATTAGCAAGTGAAACCAACTGGCTTGTCCTATCCCATCCATCACTACCAAAATACGAAGAAAAAAAGGTAATGTGTTAGATACCAAATAAACTTGAATATCATACAAGGGAAAATACAGTAAATTTTCAATTAAGAATTCTTAGTTTTAGAACAGTGAGGAAGACATGATTATAGCACCTGCAGTGTACAAGCACAGAAGCCTTTTCCATAGCAACACGAGCAGCAATCCAGGCTGCACCAGCCAACACACTTTGAACATGCAGTAACCATCCACTGTCCCCAAGAGTTGATACTGAAGCAGACATACTACTTAAATTGCCACCACCCCATGTTGACCCACCATGTCTCTAAATAGAACTCATAGAAACAGTCTTAATACAACTCCCATAAAGTTAGAAAAACAGACTGCCAATTGATACCATACAAAGTTACTCAAGCCAAAACAGTTCCGTAAAACATAATTAAAAATGCTATAACTCAAATCCTAGCTAAATTGAACATTATTTATGCATCATTGTTGGCAACAAATTACAAACAAGCACAAAGCAGTATGTCATGAGCATCTTGTGTATCTAAGTCCTTTTAACAATTAACCATGCTGGATGATTTGTGGAGGAATAATAGAAGCACTTTTATGCATACACCATGGTCCACATTCAACTTTTAAAAAAACCAACCAAAACATTCAATACTATAATTATCAGAACAGAATTTACCAACAGCTCCAAATCATGCCATTTTAATTCCCTACTCAATACATCCAAGACATAAATTGCTAAAACTTTAATAATCACAGACTAACCAAAAAAGATGACATTCCATCTGATGACGCTTTTCCATGAGTGTCCATGTATTCTCGGAGCCGAGCAAAGCTCTCTCTCATTGCATGGATGTTGTCTATCCCCAAAAAAACTATCTGAATCAGAATTTAGATGCTTAGAAAATACAGCCAAATTTATAACTGGAAAAACAAAGAAAATAAAAATGGACAGATCAAGCATATATAGCAGACCTCAGATTGAAAATAGTTTGATGACGATTCAGAACCACCTCCCATGGCTCCATTAGCTAATGCATTTTTCCTTGGCCGCGCATCAGCAATATATAGCTTTCTAGAACATAAATACAATTTTGAAAAAGGTTTTCAGAAAATGCAGAGAGGAAAAGTATCTAGGGATTGTGCCAAGTACACAGTCAATTAAATATTTAAATGGGGGTAATTATTTATGCAAAATACAAGTTAGCTTTCACCAAACAACTTAAGCTTTTAGGGGAGTTAAAACTCATTCTAGGGATTGCAATTTTTGTCATCATTAGGGAATCCTCACAGGGACTTCTCCACACAAGGCCACAAGTTCAGAGACTTAAATGTGTTATCTAACTTTATATAATTTGAAAAGTTTTAATAGTGTATTATCATTTATTTTGCAATGCAGAAATCCCCAAGTGAGAATCAGGGATGAGGACAGGAGAACAATGAGCTGGCAGGAACACAGAGGTACTCCCCACCCTAGGTGGGTGTTGTCCTAATCCTTGGTGTGATATCAAAGCCTCTATGAACAATATTCACCACCCATTCTTCTTAATTAAGTCATAATTCAGCACAGGGTAACAATTTAAGCCCAAATGGCTATTGCGGTAGGGAGCATGTCAGGGATATACAAACCAATTCTGAGACTTCTCAAAACAGCTCAGTTCTTAGGGAGGTTGTCCTTGACAATATTGATTGATATTTTATGTGGATGTAGAATTCATGTTGAAATTCACTAACAAAGTAACTAAATTGCAGAAGCCTATGCTTTTGCTTCATGTAACAACAATGAGCAAGAGCAACATAAATTCACAATGCAAGAATATAACAGAACAAACAAATCTTACCTCCTTGAGCCATCATCTAGTTTGCTGCAAAGTGCAGCAACAAGTTTTTCATCCATGTTGCTGCAGGAAAATACATGAAAGCTTGTCACTGTTTTGTGTATTTCATTTCTTATAAAAGAAAATTAATTGAAGAAATCACCCTAGTGATTAAGGACCAGGAAAAAACACAAAAACAAAGGAAAACATGTTCAACCCCACCCAAAAAGAGAAGACATCACTATTCCATAATAAACAAGACAGAAAAATTCGGTAACTGATTGGCCTTACAATTCCTTCCTTCTAGCAAATGAAATAATTACTGTTTGTACACAGTGTAAAGAGGCGTGGTTTAAAACTTCCAACATCAGTTAACAATATATCCTATACTGGCCTTACATCTATCCAAAACAAATACTGTGATTCTTTTGCCTTCAAGAGGGAAAATTTGATGAAATAGTTTGCATTACCTCCTCATATTCATCATGAGACCAACTAAGGGTTGGGAAGATCGAGCAACAACAGCTCCATTAACTATATTCATCAATTCCAATAAGTTAGAAGGTCATCCTCATATTACAATAAATGCAGAAGAATAAAAAGGAAAGGAGGAAAAACATAGAACTGTGCCAACTATGCCGAGAAATTAAACCAATACTTCGTACATACCAGGATGACACCACGAAACTACAGGTAGTCGACATCTTGCACGGAAGCTGCAAGCCTGGAGCACTTCATCATCACTGCTAGCATTAGGACAATACAAAGTTATTTAATGAAAGGTTCAGTCAGTGGATTCAACCTTATCAATATAGACATATGTCACATAACTATGGCAAAGGTAGAAAGTTTGGCCCTTGATATAGTATACCTAATGACCTTTGGAACAACCAAAGCAAATGGATACGTCTGGCACATTGTATAATTGGAATTTACGCTACTTATTCTCCATAGGTCATTTGACAAGGTGAAGGACCCACTTTCAATCATATTGATTGATGCACGATAAGAACCTATGCAAAGCAGTCGAAAATACTCATCCAATAAGCGCACCAGTGGAGTAGTGTTCTTAAACCTAGAAGGTCCTGACCCAAAAGCATAAAGATCCCATAATCTCACTGGCTTTGTACACCTCTGTAGTGCATCAAATACCACACGTCTCTGTAAGATTTTAATAACCAACATTAGATCCTAAACATGCAAGAAGAAAATAAAAGCAATTGCTTAAATGTTCACTACAACATTCTCACTGGTTTACAACACTTTAAAAGTGCAGCTTACCCAACAACTTCAAATATCACGAAATGATAAACAAATCAACAAGAGTTGCAACTAATGAAAAAGAATATAATTAAATTCCATATTTTCTATTAAATTTCTTTTTATTTTCTGCCAATGAGACTTGACTCAATTGGGAGGATCAACATTCAAGCTGCACTGATAAAAAGGTCTTGGGTCTGATTTTTTATGATCCTTCACCAGTAGGCATCCCCAAATTGTGGTGCACTCTACCTTGGTTGTGAAACAACTTATTCACCTTTTTAATTTTTGCATAAAAAAAAATCTTTTCAATAAAAAAATAGTAGAATCCCAAATACAATCAATAAGATATGGAATTATAATGTACAAAAGTGCCACAATCCAGAATGAATACATTAATAAATTAGTAGGAGATACCTAGCAGAGAACTAAGAAAATAAAAGTTAAAACGGATCTCCATGTTTGGGGATTATCCAAAAGAACAACTGAATAGAAACATGGGTTTGTGACTCATTCAATCCATGTATGACGAAATAATACACATGTCCCAGACTTATTTTGAGCTCCACACCACATAGGATACTTATGGCATGTGATGATTCATGTGAATTTGTGAGCTGTTTCCTTTTTGACAAAGAATGAATGAAAGTGGGGAACCAAATTGATAAATTAGGGGTTTTCACAAAAAGCCTTTCAGTTGAGAAATGTCTGTCAATGACATGCTAATCATTTTATAAAGATGGACTCAAAATTATTAAATCTCCCCGTGACATTGTCATAATGCAATTACCTGTTTTGTACGTGGTCTAAAACCAAAGACTATAATTCTCATATCCTTTCCTGCATACAAGAGTAAAGGTAAATATTTTCTTTAATAAAAAATTATTAAGATTCAACACATAAAAATACAACAAATTTGGAGGATTTCCATATACAGTTAAACAGTTGTAGTATTTAATGATATTAAACCTCCAATCAGTTACCAGATTTTTCTTCCCTTTTATTAACTTATCAGCATTATCCCCAAATTTTGCACAGTGATCTCATCATTAATTAAATGTTTATAAGAAAAATAGCAATAAAGAGGAGCTTATGCATACCAATCACCTGGAGCAGTCTTTGCGTTGGTGTCTTGTCTAGATGACGAGTGTTTGACTGAACCTTTACAACCTAGATTTAAAAAGAGAGCAATGCATGCGGTTCAAATCTGAACAATCACCACAAAAGTAGGAACCAGAATCAAGATGCATAAATACACTTACAGGTTGATATTGCACCGAATAAATATAGTTCAAAATTATCACTACATTAATAGATATAAGAGAGTTTAGATATTCATTCTTGTGGCTGAGCTGATATGATCATATGAACCAGTAGCACAAGTCCATCTCATTGGCAAGTCAAAATCAACAAAAAAATTGAGAACCATTCAAAATAATTTTTTCAGAGAAACCAATCAAAATATGTAGTTCCTATTTTCTCTTCATGAATCAATCTTGGTTCATATTTTATAAGTATTCCAGTGTTACATTGGTGGTAACCACAAGAACTAGTAATGATTTGTAGACTTTAAATGTTCTACAACCAATGAGTGAATTAGAAACCTAAAATAATATATGCACGCATGTACATGCACATTCGTGTGTGAAAAAGCAAAGAGATAGACGAGATTAAAACAGAGGCTGACCAAACTCACACAAGAGGGATATGCATGATCACTACAAAATCATTGATTGAATTTATTTTACAAATATCTGATTGTAGTATGTCAAAATTATTTGTCAACAAATACACAAGTATGGCAACAAGAGTAGGTTTAGAACAGTCAATATAACCAAAGTAAATAACAAATAATAATTACACAGAAGAAAATAGTTTGTAGAAAAATTTGCAGAGACTTACTGTCTTGTTAAACTTCTCAATGGTTGCTAATGGTATTGTTCCAAGGGCAATAACTTTTCTAGTTCCCTCGCTCTGAAAAATGCAATGAAGGAAATCAGAGAATAAAACGAATATGCATTATTTAGACATGCAAGGGAAGGTAACAAATTTCCCACATAAATAGAAGTTAGACACATAAAAATGCACATAAATCAACAACAGAGCTTAGGAGTTAATTATCATGACAATAAGATGAAGGTGAGGCAATTAATTTCCAGTAAGCCTATATACTAACAGAAATAAACAAACAGTTTGGCACAGGAGAAATGGAGAACACAGTTCTGTATACTAATAATATAATATTGGTTTTGTACCGTTAGAGAAGCCAATCTTCAGTATATTAATCAATTCTTAGATTTTGCAAACTATAAGTGACATACAAGACGAGAGAAACACCAAAGCTACCAGATTTTAAATGGTTAATCAAGTGATACCTTACCACCATGAGATACCAACATACAAATCAAAATAAACACTTAGCCATTCAATCACCTCAAGCTCTCTTTTTTTATATTCCTCTGTCCCCATGCAACACACCATTTAATTTTAAATATGACTATTTTTTAAATTTTAATGGAAGTTCCTTAGTTTTACAAGCCTTTAACATCACACAATACTCCAAAAGCCCAGGTGACACTTTAAACCATTATTTGTTCCTTTTCTCTTCTTGTATGCTGCTCATAGTGTGATTTCTTAAGTGAGATACAGCACTCTGAGGAAAGTGGACATTGACCTCTGCTTGAACCTTCTCAAATTTTAAAATGATTTTTCTCACTGGATTTGGAATATTTTAAAGCCATATGAACCTATGGCAGAAGCAAAAATTTTAAATACTAAATATTGGCTTTTGAGCATGATTATGAAGAACCATTGCATAGGCATGTAATGTTGATTATTGTGAAATATTTGACATATCAAAGTTTGAAATTAATTGAGTGAATTTTCTCAAGTTACAGAATGTTCTCCTTTAAATAAATTTTCAAAATATCACATTTTATTTTTTATCATTTGACAATTATCTCCATATGATTGTTACTGTATTATTTTTATTTTTTTAAAATTTTTTGAAGAGGTGAAAGACCTTGTTAAAACTATATCTAACACTAATGAATATTAAAATTGGTGAAGTTAGGACTGGATTAGGCCTAGCGAGGTAGCAAGGTATTTGCTGACTGCATGTGCATTGGCTATGATTTCAAGCTTGATGGGTAGGAAGAGTACCTACTGTATAGGTATTTGTAGCTTGATGGGTTTTAGGGAAAATAGGACATTTTGCTGAGGTGAATTTTAAATGATGACAGCAAAAGATATTCAGTTCGAGTAATGTGGAAATTAAAGAACCACATCTCTTTTCTAATTATTTAGACTTAATCAAGTGTTTCCAGAACTTCATCACCAGTCAAGCCCAAATCACAATTAAAAAATTCTCCATATAGTTGCATTCCATGATTTTTCTACCAAAAACCTTAATTATCACACCAATATACATTTACATTGTCTTTCCTACGGGCATTCAGACACTTTTCTAGGTTGTGGACATTTCCAAATGACAAATTTAAGATTGCTCCTACATCAGAGTACCTTGTAAATAATAATAATTTAGAAGTGGTGCAGGAAATTTTACATAAATGAACTTACCAGAAAAAGAAGACGAAAATTTGTTACCATCAGCATGCCTGCATCATCAGTATTAACAAGAACAACACCATGTCCCTGAAAGTAAACACCATAAACCTTCTTAATTTCTTACAATAGATTCAAACAGGAGAAACATGAATTCAAACATTAAGATTTGTTTTAGTAGTAAAAGTTAGCAAAAGGTTCACACTTGAGAGAAATTTCTTGGAGCATTTGCTTTCCTAGGTATATTTCATTCTTGTTCATACAAGACAGGATATCTCTAGAAATTATCAAAATATTTTAGTCAAGAAAGTATTTGTTTCACATATTTTGTTTTGGTTCTCTTGTTTCAAAACTACAGAAAGTCAAGAAAGTAACAATTATTTTATCCAAAAAAATACCCTTATCTATTGGTATCTCACCTAATCAATTCACAACACTCTAACTCTTTTATTAAGGATATTTTATTCGAAGTAGACTATTTCATAACAGTATCGATGCAATTAATAATTTCATAAGATATGTGTATTAGTATTAACTTAAATGAGAAATATTTTGAAATGGACGGGAGGAAGTAATATAGAAGAGCTAACATAGAGCTTTCATCAGGCCAATTCATAAATGAGGAAAATATTGCCTCTTTAATTGTCTAATTGCACTAAATATATGAACAGTGTCAAATGAATTAATAAACATATATTGAAGGAATCTTGGCAGCATATCTTATTTTCCCAAGTTTTGGAAACCATTTATATATTTAGGTATATTATTCAAAATTCAATACTCTAGTTCAGCGTTTGATATGTCATAACCAGAGCAAAGATCTTGAATTCTTGAGGTTGCAGCAATAGATAGCATGGAGCATAGAATAGTGCACCACACTTAAGACGGGAAGTCCTATCCACCAGTTCTCACCCCTGCCTGGGAACTATCCTCCTCCTTGTTTGGTTCCATAGGGAAGGGAACCCCGCCAAGGCTTCATGACTGTGTGAAGGGCCCCTGTAGCAGGAAGGTCTAAAGTGTCCTGAGGCATCCCTTTAGCTGGAGTAGAAAGTGATATCACCATTTGACCCATCACTGTCAATCCCACCTATCACCTCCCGGTCCACTGACACACTCAATCGTCAGTAATTGACAATTAAGCAGCACAGCCTGATGCAGCACATCGTTAGCTACAGCATCCTTAAATGTTTGGTAGAAGATTTCCTGGAAGACAAGAGGGCCACCCAAATAGCTAAGGAAAAGGGGATATGCATCAAAAGAGAAAGGAATATCATAGGAACCTATGAGTGAGAGACATTCTTAAAACCTTAATCTCATTGAAGGAAGTTTCAGTATCCTAGTCATTTGCCCCACATCCCTGTTACCCTATCATCTAAAAGGCAGTGGGAAATCAAGGACGATAAGTCCCATACACTTCCAAGGCAACAACATGTCCACTTGAGCCCTTTGTGGCCGTCTTCTATCTTGCTTTCAATAGGTGCTACATTTGTTCTCTACCAGCCACCAGCAGCCAAGTCCCATTTAATATACCCCTCAAAGAGCACAGGAACCCACTTTCAGACAATCCCATAACCAAATTTCTTAAAAACAAGTTTCCATGTAAACAGGAAACTGGAATGGACATTTAACAAACATTAACACACTCAAAACAGATGTATGACACAACCTAGCAAATCAATGGACTATCATATTGTTAACTGTATGAATGTAAAGATTCAGAGCGAATTAGTAGCTGCAAGACAGAATCTTCATATGGATACTCAATTGGCAAATTATTTACAGGTCACACATGTCAAACTCAGAATGCAGAGATTAGACAATGCATTATGCACCAAACCCTATAAGTATTTCTGGCAAATCCCGAGTCACCCTTACCATTATTTGCCCTATCCTCACACCCCTCACACTTTCGCAGATTCAGCACACATAATCAAAACCAGACTAATTAATTCGGAAAGAAAAGGTTACAACAACTGCTCCACAAATCGCAGAACAAATCACAAAAGAAAAGGGACAAACGGGGAATTTTGAAGAGTCTTGAAAAGGAATTAAAAAAATAATCGAAGGCTCGGTTGCGTACTTCGGCTACAACTTGCTCCGCCTCGAGCAAGAAATCAAGATTCGCATGCGAGACGAAACGCGAAATTGGCTGAAAACAAATTAGAACTAGAAAATTAACAAGACGAGAAAAATGAAGAAAGTTAAAAAGATTGAATTAAAAATGAGGAAGGTTAATTATAAGAAAAGAAGAAGAAGAAGAAGGAAACCTCAATCTTGGTCCATTCGAGGGCGTCCCAACTACCAGTCCCCTCCATCTTGGAGGACTCGGAAGCGTCCCTCAACGACGTCGTTCGAGTGGCGCGGTGTTTGGGCACGTCCATGCCAGCGAGTGAGAGGAGAGAGAGAGAGGGATTGCGTTGCGTTGTGTGGTGTCGTGTGTTGAATGGAAGACTTAACAAACAAACGACGATGCGGGGTGGTGCGGTGTGGTGAGTGCTGTGCTCCCGCGTCCCACATAAGCAAAGAAGCAAAGGAAGGGATGTTAATAAGTTGTGCCAAACTTTTACTACTTATACCACCCCATCACTGCTCCAAGCCAATCCGTCATTATCCCATTCTTATCATTAAATTATCATTGTCTCTACTAACCACATTTTTTTTATATATTCTTTTAAAAATATTCAAAAATATGTTTTAAGCTTATTTATAATATTTATTTTTGTTAGAATAAAATTAAATAATTTTTCTTTAAAAAATATCCAAAAATGTGTATGCTAGTTATATAAGGTAAAGAAAGTGCTTAATTTAATTTCAAAATAAATCTTCTTTGAGCAATAGTCCTTTATATAACTTATAGGTCTAATGAAGTATTAAGAATGTATTTTGATAAATAATTAAGAATTTACTTAATAAACTTTTATATATTTTTTTATGTTAAATATGAGTTTTTTAAGCGATAGTGTTTTTAGGAATAATTATTCTTTTTTTATGTCGTATAACTTCTCACGTATTAAACTTTTTTTTTATTTAAGATAAATTAAAATTTATATATTTCATAATTTATTTATAAATTTTTAAATATTATATTTTTAATTTAATCATATCTAATAAAATAAAATAATTGGTACCAATAATAAAATTATTGTCTAAAATTTATTATTTTTTAGATTTAACAATGGTTATATAATATATTTAAATTTTATTTTAATCTAATATACATGTATATGGTAAAAAAAAAAAAAAAACCTATTGGTTATATAAATGCCTATCCTCATAAATTTAATCATCAAACTTATTAAAATCAATTTAAAATATCAACTTGATAAGTTATATTAAAAATTTATTAAATTAAACTAAAAATGGTCTATAAAAAATTATTTTTTTTTATAAAATCTGCCTAAAACTCTTATAAATAATTTGTTTCATAACTTGTCTTTCAGTACATCTAATTCTAAAAATAAATTAGATTGGTAAACCAGTTTAGGTTTATAAAATGACAGCACTATCAACTTGATAGCCATTCACTTCAATATTTTAAACTAATAGGAAAACGAATGAACATCAGCATGGACTAAGAGATAAATATTAAATTAGCCATAAAAAATAGAAAATTAAAAATACAAAAGAAGCAAGGGAGTGAGACTGATATGCGAGAGATCAAGATAATTAGAACATGACATACTTAAAAAAGTTTTACGATAGTTATGAAAACTAAAAAGTTGTAGTTAAAGAAAATATCATAAAAACATCACTATATTTTTACTCTATGTCCAACTTTCTACCAGCATTATTTTCACAAACAACTATAAAAGTATTTTTCATAGTTTTTTTCAGTACAACTTTTTTAAAATAAAAAAGAAAATATGACAATGTCATATTTTCAAAAATAAATAAATAAATAAATATATATATATATATATATAAACAGAATATTTTAACCAAACGTATCTAGCATTTTGAAATTGGCATGTCATCCCACCATTCAAAAGATTTCAATATAGAAAGATCCAGTTTGATAAAACTATACAATTTAATATATATTATGCTCATAAATATCCGCCCTCTAAACAGCATGTAGGAACCCATAGGACAACTTATCAGAGATGAGACCAGCGATCCAAGTTAAATCAGCTAGGATCTCCTCAAAGAAAAATAATACTAAATATTTAAAATGAACATTTCTCGCCAAGATTGCATTCTAACTCTAATATTGCACAACAGTGTATGTGACCATTTCTCTCATACTCCATCTAGCCCCTAATTCACATTCATCGAAACTCAAGCTAGAAAGTTGGTGTCCCTGAAATCCTTCATACCAATCAAAATGGTCAGGGACTGCACTTCAAGTGAAAACTGCCATGAGCATCATGAAGATTGCTTATCCATTCAGTTGAGGGTATCTACTATCTGCTTATCCATTCAGTTGAGGGTATCTACTATCTACCCCATTATTGCTACAATCAACCAGAGCTTTTGTATTGAGGTCCCTAACATATCTCCATACATAATTCAGACCCACAAGAAGCTCAGTGATTATTGCTTCTGTTTTTTCTTGATTTGCAAAGTAAAGGGTTTGTACCAGCAACACGTTTGTCCGGGAAACAAAGCTATGCTGCTCATAACTTCTCTCAGATTGCCATCTTAGCATGTTATGAGCAAGTGGGGCTAACCATTCTAATATACCCCTCATTGCTTCGGTCCATTCCTCTGCTAGACTTGTGTCAAAGATGGCTTTAGCCATGGCCTTGGAATATGGCTTTAGCTTGGCCCTAAGAGTAGTTCTTACACGTCTAGGTAACATGTTGTAAAGATCCTCTCTCGCATCAAGACCAATCAGGTATGGAGAAGCTGCAAGCTTCTCTATCACAATGATGACATTTGCATAATGCAGGGCTAAAGAAGCAGCACCAAGGGATTCAGATGGAGGCTTTAACCTGAATAGAGTACCAAAAGTTGATCGAGGACAATGAACTTCTTTTCCAGGAGCAAGAAGGTTTGCATTAGCATCATTGTGATTCTGAGTTGCTAAATGAACATCATTTAGGCTTGAGTGGCAGTCAATGACAGAGGAACTGTCCACAGCCATACATCCTTTGAAAGGTCCTACTTGAGTCAGTCGATTGTGTCTTCCATTAATTTCCCTCCCATTTATGCCATTTATGGCAGATGAGTGGCCATGAAACTTCCAAATCTTGCTGCTTTTATTTGTTCCATTATCTTGGACTGGCTTTTTGGAATTCCTTCCAAGAGGACCTGAGAAAATTTTGATACTTCTATACTTTCCTGAAATTGGGCCTGACTTGACGGATGAGTCACCACCACCTGAACGAAAATTGCCAGTTTTATTTGTTCTAACATTTGGAACAGATGTAGCAGTAAAAGCACCAAGGGGTCCTGAAGCAAATCTACTAACATTATTCCTGGAGGGGTGGACTGAAGGTTGCAAAACTTCAGAAACTGATTGACTGCCATGAATGTGATTGGAATTCAAAGCACTTCGATTCTTGATTTTACCAACATCTATAATCTCTTGAATTCCGAATACATTGTTGATCCTACTGAATATTGTAAACAAAGCCCTTGCTAAAAAGTGTACAGTATAATCATATGTCCTGTTCCACAGAGAATTAGCCTTGAAGTTTTTTACCTCCAGCCTTTTCCATGCAACCTTCTTCTGATAGTCAATTAAATTTGGCCCGTCAGACTCAGTGTAAGCCTTCATTCTTCTAACAGTTTGCTCAAGATCAGACAGCAATTCCATCTCTTGATACAAAGTTGCATTAGTTGCTATAAACTTTTCCATCCTTTTTACCTTTTTCTCCATTTTCCTGGAGGTGAATCCCCACCCATAAGGATCAACACCAAAAGTGATAAAATCGTCAAAGGTATTCTCAAAACCCTGCAAACTTGGATCACTGCATTTCTTCCCAAGTCTAGCCACAGATTCAGCCACATGTGCCATGTTCTCAAGCATCTCTAGACTGATTAAGCGTACAATGAAATTCTCATCATCTGAAACAAGCTTTCTTATACTAACTGAATTTGTTATCTCTTCTCTCAACTTAGCAACCTGTTTATCACTCAAAGACTGCCACAAATTAACAAGCTTGGACATCAAGCTAGCAACTTCAAATGCTAATACCCCAATCACCGCCTTCTCAGAATTACTATCATCCTTCCGTGAAGTCTTCCATAGAGTTCGAAACCATGATTCAGCAACCATTGCTTACCTAAGAATGGTAAAAAAAATGCTCTTTAAGACAAGTCCTTGGTCATAGCTCTGTAATACTCAGCAAATAGCACACAAAATAAGATTGTCAAATCAAAATAGCCTTTATGTATCCAGATGCCAAATAAATTTCAACCAGTCTCAATATTTTATGATGCTCAGTGAAAAATGTCATCTCAAAAGCTTAATATTAAGGAAGCTATTTTACACTGTATTTTTAATATCATTTATTGTTAGTTGAAAAAAATACAGCAAAAGCAAGCTACAAAACGTTTGAAATGGATACCTAACTAAGATTGAAAGGGTGATATATACCAAAAGCAATTATATTGTAGCTTAAATGAAATGGTCATATAATTCTCTGTAAGTTCTTAATTTTGACTTCAAATTGTAGTTAAAAATGTTCAACCTAAACTGGGACTAGTCATAATTTTGTATAGTTACCAAAGTAACCCACACCGATAGACCAAAGAGAAAAAAAAATAGAGAATGCATGACTTTTTATACAGAAGAAAGGAAAAGAGGAAATAGTCCCCAACAAAAACTAAAAACAAAAGATTCTTTCCATTGCACCGAAATTTTTTTCAGTCCTGGAGTATGTACTTTCTTTCCTTTACAGCAAGATACTGGACATGTATGGTTATTTTTCTCAAATTGAATTTTTCTGTAAATAAAAATAGTAAAAACTGCTAAATAAAGAAAGATAACTGTAGGGAATAGATACTACTATTTGATTCCAGGTAAATATTGATGCAGCGTTTTATATATATATATATATATATATATATATATATATATATATATATATATATATATATATATAATCAACAAAATCTGAAGATTCTACTGTTTCTTTACCCCCTCCCCTCCTTTTCTCTGTTTACTCGGTCATAAACAGGAACTAACTAAAAAATCACAAGTTGAAAGGAATATCCTTTTGGGAGGGTAAATGGGTTTCACACCAATTCTCACTGCAATAACAAAGGAAGAATGACACAACCCCAAAAGAGTAATAGAAAAGCCTCATAATTATAGTATACACATGAAATCAGTAAAACCCTTATTGACCATTAAAAATAGATTAAAAAAACAACAAGAAGACGTTCACTTTGCAACTTTTGAAGCATGTAATTAAACTTACATCAATCACTTCACAAACTTGTTGGCTCACATGGATGAAGAAGAAATTCATTAGCCATAACACAAATCCTTAACGATTAGTGGTTGCATCAAGAACAAATCAAACACGGAAAGGAGAAGAAACAGCACAAAACAGAATGGAAGCACAAGTGGGGGACCCAGAAACTCACCGATCACAAAAACAAGGACTTGACCAAGAATCCGTCAGCTGAGAGCAAACAGTGGAAAATGGGAACAGTGAGAAAGAGGAGAGAGAGAGAGAAAGAAGTAAATGGAAGTTGTGCAGTGATAGGAAATGAAGGAGAAATTGCAGAGAAAGCGAGTTTATGAAATTAAAGGCATGTCATATTTTCTTGCTTACTTTTTTAATTGCCCCATTCACACGCTCCTACAATTATTTTTAAAAATTAATATAGTTTTAATAGTATTTTTTTATTTTTTACTGATATATAAACTTTTGTCTACTTCTTTTACTAAAAATCTAATAAATACTTTACGACATTAGTTAAAAAATATAAAATAATATCTATCTCATAAATTTTTAATGTATATTAATATAATTTTTAAATTATTGTTTATTCATTCTTTAAATAATATCTTACAAAAAATGGTTCAGAAGACCTTTTTTATTTTTAGATGATGATGTCCTGAACTTCATGAATTTCAGTTTGTGTGCAAGTTTGCTCTTATTTAGAATTTTAAAAAGTAATAAAATATTGGTGTACTATTTAATGTGAAATTAAATTCAGTATTAAACACGAAATATTGTAAGTCGCGAAGAAAAACTGTGAATTTATCATTCAAAATATTAAATGGAATGATAAGGATTTTGGCTGGTGTGATTAATGCTTATTCAACCAAATTATTATAATTTTATTTAATAAATATTTTCAAGCATTACAGATTCAGTGATGAAATTTTTGCTCGTCAGTTAATAATAGAATACCAAGATTCGTAAATTTGTAGAGAACAATTTTAATTTCTCTATTTTTTATTATTCTCTCATTTTAAATAAAATAGTATTGAATATTTTTTATTTTAAATTAGTAAATATTTTTATTGTTTAATTATTTTTTTACAAAATATGAAAATTATAATAATAATAATAGAAAATATAGCATTGCTTTTCTGTACAAGCTGAAAGAAACCCAAAAAGGAATAAAATAATTTGACGAATTGCATGTGTAGAGAAATTATAATAAGTCTGTCAATGGATATATTAAAGATGACCCTTTTCATTTCAATTTTATATACATTTCTATATTCATCCATCTTTAAGAAAAATGTCTTACTCAATGATATCATTAAAATTCTTATAGATATATTACATGTTATCGTTTTTTCAACATAATATTATTTAAAAATAAAACAACCTTCCCCCTCACCCCTGTAACTATTATATGAAAAATACATGAATTTTATTATTAAATATATTACATTTATGTTTATGTAAATTTATTTTATTTGCTGCCAAAATTATTTAAAACAAATGTAGTATGAGTCACTTTGATATCTTTTGTGTACAAAAGATATTTATTTATTGAAAATAACAATTTTATAAAACTGTTTTTAAAAAAATAAAATAAAATAAATTTTATTTGATAATTTAGTTTTTAAAACTAATTTTAGTTATACTTTATTGATTTAAAAAAATAGAAAAAAAAAACAAAAACACCTAAATAGCAATTCTGTTTTTCAGTTTTAAAAACTGAAAATAAAAATTAATTTTTAAAACTTACATTAACAAAGCAAGTTTTTCTATTTTTTTAATTTAAAAAATAAAAATTATATTTAAAAAGAAAAAACAAATAAGTTCTATATCACTTCTTTTTTAAGCAGCCATAACTATAAATAAAACGCTAAATAACATTTTAAAACATCAAATCATCTGTCATGTGAAAGTTTATTTTGTTGCCATTTGGATTTGATGACAAATTACAAGCACAAATAAAAGCTTATAACATTCACAAACAAATACTCCACATGACATCTTGTAATAATGTTTATAACTGTAAATAAAAATTAAAAAATATAAAATTTTGTAATTTTGTTTCCTGAAAAAAATTATTTTTTTAGAATTTTAAAAATTATTTTAAATTAAATTAAAATAACGTGGATCATAAAGTATTTTTTACAATCTTTTAATGAAGCTATAATTGTATTTTAGATAAAAGTTTTAATTTGGTTTTCTAATAACAAGAGTGTCACATTAAATAGGCCATTCAATAGTTTGGGCTGCTAATTTTTTATTCCAAAGATTTTAAACTATTACTGTATTAGTTTTTCAAAAATTTTATACTAAATTAATATTTTAATCATTACTTAAGTCCCTCAGAATATTAGTTTAATAAAATTATACATATTTTTTTATATTTAATTTATGATTAATTTAAACACTTTCTTTGACCAATTTTAGTAACGCAAGTCCTAATTATCAATTTAAAGTGTTTTTAAAAACTATTTTAAATAATTATTTTTTTAAAAATTCATCATTTTCATGTGATTTATTTTATATTATATATATTTTTAATTTAACCTAATTTAATCTCTTTTAATATAATTAAATAATTATTATCAATCATTAATATTTATATTATATTTTAAATCCATTAAACTCAAGAACAATTAAATAATATATCTTTAACTTTTATTTAAATAATATTCATATAATACACGACTCACTAGTTAAAATTAATTTCTCACATTTAAATTGAGTTTAAATCACACAGTTTAGTACTTAAATATGCATTCAAAGATGATTCTGTTGAATAAAACATTACCATTGACCAAATTTTGCCTTCATCATTTATTTAACAAGAAGAAAAATATAAGGGTGCATAAAATATTTAAATGCCATATGAAAAAAGTTGTTATTTATGACAATTTCGACGGAGAAAGTCTTAAAAGTAAAAAGAAAAAATTCAGATACAATTTTACCAATATAGCCCCTATGCTCCATTGAAAGAATGAGCTTTATTTATTATCAGTTACAAAATTATTACTATCCAATCAATCACAACTCGCTAGAAAAATTTTACTTCTCATTTAAAAAATTATCGACTTCTTATATATTTGTTAATCAGTTTTTTACAAGGTCAAATTTTAAATTACCTGCTTTATTTTTATGTTATACTTGGATAAAAAAACAGATATAAAATTAAAAAAGTTACAAACTAGTAAAGAAAATAAAATAGTATTCATATCGATTAAAAAATTAAATAAAAAAAGTGAAATTATAGTAATAATTTAAAATATTAAATTAATGAAAAAAAAACTTTATATATAATATTTTTTCAGAGACCAAATGTTAAGTTCCACTTTTTCCCTGGTCGATTAAACACTCAACAAACAAAGCCTAAAACTTGATGCAAATTATTGTAAAATTTTAATTTTATTTGATTATCTACTGTTAACACCATTCTATTGTTTCTCTTTGTGAAAATTGAAAGAGGTAGTAAAAAATGAAGAGAAGGTTGAAGTTATTGGTTAAGGAAGCAAATGGACCAGTTTTTACGTGTCAAAGCTTTGATTAGGGAGAAAGAAAAGAAGAACTGAGAACTTAATAATTTGAAGTGATATAATTTTAGGTTTCCTTATTGATTAATGTTTGATCTTTATCATTTTTAATTCAAATGTCGATTATCATAATTAATAATTAAAATAAGCAGTGTAATATAAAAATAATATTAAAAAGTATAATAATAAAATAAACATTTATACTTTTTAGTTACATCTTATTGTGTTATTCATGGATATTGAGGGTAAGAAATAATAAATTTGAAATTCATAAGTTAATTTAAGCTATGTTTGAAAAAATGTTATAAGTTAATGGAATAAATTTGTTTATTAAACATCTTTATTTTAATTTAAAAACTTATAAAGATATGATAAGTACTTATTTGTCAGTTTTTTAATTAGTTTTTTTTAACACGCTTTAGTGATAGTTGTCATTACTCATAAACTAACAAACAAATTCACAATACTGGCTAATTTACAAATAATCAACAAAAAAGTATGATTATTATGTAATGAAAATAAATAAAGATCATTAAGTATCCCTTAAACATAATAATTAAATCTAACAAAATCTGAAATAAGTACACGCAAAATTTCCTTCAACTTAAAGGCTAAAAAAAAGATAAACGACAGCTTTTATTAGGGAACGTCTCATGTGACTGATCAGTTTGGGCAACCTTTCTTTTTAAGAGTTTTTTTATTTTTATTTTTTAAATGTTGGGCTCGGAATCAATGTGGACAAGTTGACTCGGTCTTGTTAAGGTATAAAAGACATGTTGAATTTGAATATTTATATTTTTAATAACTTTTTATAGAATATAAAATTATTAATTGTTAAAAAATTAATTAATTTAATTATTAATTACCTTATATTATTTTCATGATCCTATATATTAAATTTTATATAATTTAGATATTTATAAATTTATTATCCAAAATTTTATATTTATTTATATTAAAAAATACAGTATTAATTAAAAATAAAATAATGTGAATAAGTATCTATATTAATTTTATATAAAATAAATATTTAATTAAATTATGTATTTAATATATTCAAAATAAATTTTGCATATTTAACTTGTAATTTTTATGATGAGAATGCTTGATTACCATATTTTATTTAAGGGAAATTTCATCTTGTTGAAAATCATATGAGACGACGAGATTGTTAATTATTATACGTTTGTTTGGCGTTGTTAGAATTTTTTTTCCCCTAAAAAAATTGAATTAGTCAAAGAGAAGTCAATACAAAACTCACTGAGCTTTGTTATACCTTTCTAATAACCTTTCTTTGGCTTTATAAAGTAAATATTAAATAAAATATTTATTTATTATTATATTGAAAATATAAATACATTAAATACTTTTTTCATTTCATAATTAAGAAGATTTGTAGGAACAAAGACAAGGAGAATTTAAAATTATTTAATTCAATTATAATAGTAATTTGTCCCTTTTTTTTACATTTTGATGCAGGCATTTTTATGCCCAAATATAGAAAGCTGAAAGTCCTTATCTTAGTTAACGTGTCCCTATTATATGTCGTGTTATATAATTCTATTATAATTTTTATGTAACAAAAAGTTTAGCGGATAAAAAATTACCTCATTTGAACAGGAAATCAGATCTAAACTCTATACGCAAAATAATTCTATTGCATTTAACATTTTATGGTTTTGCTTTGACATTAGTTGTTGGTTTAAAATTACGGTGTGTTCACAGTTCAATCACTTTAGAGAAAAATATCATATGATTCAAAATTATTTAATGTATACAATTCTGGTCAATATTCTGGCCACGTGACTAAGTTTTATTACTTTT